AGGAATAGCTGGAATTGATAAAATAGGACTGCGGATGTTAAGCGAATCTGGCTTCCCCCTTTTCATTTTGCTTGTTAGAAAGTCACAAGAGGGGATTATGTGACCCCCCCCCCCCAGGAGACTGCAATGGCCATAATTATGAGTCAGTTTTCAAGTATCTGAAAATTGATCACGTGAGGGGATGTTCCAATGGTCGTTAAGTGTGAAAAATAGTCATAAGCAATAGCACTTATATACCATTTCACAGTGCTTTCTCTAAGCGGCTTACAGGGTCAGCCTATTGAACCCAATAATCTGGATTCTCATTTTACCAAACCTCAGAAGGACGGAAGGCTGAGTCAACCTTGAGCCAGTCAGGATCGAACTCCTGACCGTGGCCCGAGTTTGCTTGCAATCCTGCATTCTAACCACTGGGAGGGAAGGAAGGAAGGAATAGCACTTAGACTTATATCCTGCTTTACAGTGCTTTATAGCCCTCTCTAAGCAGTTTACAGTCAGCCTCTTGCCCCCAACAATCTGGGTCCTCTTTTTACCCACCTCGGAAGGATGGAAGGCTGAGTTAACCTTGAGCCGGTCAGGATCGAACTGCCAGCAGTCGGCAGTCAGCAGAAGTAGCTGCAGCATTGCATTCTAAGCACTGTGCCACAAAGTGGGGAAAAGTCGTAAGTTGCTATTTTCAGTGCCATTGTAATTATGAATGTTCACTAAATGAACCGTTGTTAACTATTTGTCACCACAAGCAAAATTGAAGGAGCAGCCCAAATTGCCAGAGGGAGACGGCCTTCCCATGACCAGCTGCACCCAGGTTGGCCCAACACCCGGGGCTTGCTCCATGGCCACTGATGTGCGATGATGGGCCAGTTCCCACGACACTGGAACCCTGAATCTCCAAGCAGAGTCTGTTCAGAGAAGCTCCTTACAATCCCAGGCAGGGAAGTACAGGTAGACCTTAAGTGCAGGGATTCACTTAAGAGATGGGGGAAAAAGTCGTAAAACGGGGCGAAATAACAAATGTCTCAACAACATACATTTTGGGCTCAATTTGTGGCCATACACATGGCACATGGTAGATGTTTGAAATGGGCTCGTGAACAAGGAGTGGTATGTGTAAATCATGTTTATGCCATTTAGGGATTTATAATAATAAAGATGCTTTTGGCCTTTAGTCATGCCGGCCACATGACCATGGAGATGTTTTTCGACGGCGTTGGCTTCTTGGCTGAAACAGAGATGAGCACCGCCCCCTAGAGTCGGGAAGGACTAGCACATATGTGCGAGGGGAACCTTTACCTAATAATAAAGGCCAAGGAATTAAAAGAGGCTTGCTCCTGGGGAGGAAAGCGATGGCAAATCTAGTCAAGGCTGTGGTTTTCCCNGACTAGCCAGGCCCAGTTCCTGCAACCGTTCTTCATATGTTTTAGTCTCATAGACCATCCACAACTGTGAAAAGTCACAATGGGTGCTGGTCACACAACCAACACAATTTTACATGGCTTTTGTTTTGCAGCAGTTCATTAAATGAATGCTATGGTCATTAAGTGAATCCATTGCTCCCCTTGGCATAGTTATGCCAAAAAATTGGATGTGCCTGGGGTTGTGGTCATTGGAAGTGACCACATGACACTCCTAATGGCTGAAAATGTGGTTGTGTTGGCAAGGGCCCAAAATCCAGTCACATGAGTGAGAGGGGAGGGGATGGCAGTCGGAATGAATAGTATAACAGAGTTGGAAGGGACATTGGAGGTCATCCAGTCAAACCCCCTGCTCAGGCAGGAGAGGCTAATGCATTTCAGAATTCTGGATCTGGAAAAAAAGGTCCCCTTTTTTTTCAGGTAGGTTTTAGTTTCAACTGATCACAAAGTGAGTAAGTGAAGGACGACCTGGACTTAAGTGGAAGGATCCCTCACCTGCCCTCCTGCTGGTTTCCCTGTTCACAGGATGACACCTTCCATTGTGCTTCAAAATTTGTCCTGGAGGAGAGGAAAAGAAAAAAGAGGGATAGCAAATCATCCTCTTTTAACCACCCCATAATCCCTTGCGGGGTGGAATCTGGGCAACTGAATGGAGCTGAGTATTTACTGGCCAGATGCCTTTCCTGTCGCCAATGTGGAGGGGTTTTTTTAGCAGATATATTCTGCTAAAGAGAGAGAAATCAGCCTCTATCTAAGGATTGAACTCACAGCCTCCTGATTGTGAGGAGAGAGCTCCACCTCTAAGCCACCCCACCACTCAAATCATCTTTTAGGCTTGCAGATGCAGACTAAAGTAGGACTAGAACTCAGGTCTCCCAGGTTTTTTTTTAGCCTTCTGATGCTTTAACTACTAGACCTGATGGTGGGACAATTAAAATACAGACACCCCACCACTTGCTGGATGCCAAAAATAACTCCTGCACTTCTGGCAAATAGTGAAATTATGAAAGACAGACAGACAGACAGAAAGAAAGAAAGGAGAGAAAGAGAGAGAGAAAGAGGAAAGAGAGAGAGAGGAAGGGAGGGAAAGTAAGAGAGAGAAAGAAAAAGGAGAGAAAGAGAAAAAGAAAGAGTGAAAGAGAGAAAGGGAGGAAAAGTAAGAGAGAGAGAGAGAGAGAGAGAGAGAGAGAAGAATTAAGAGAGAGAGAGAGAGAAAAGAGAGAGAGAGGAAGGGAGGGAGGGAAAGTAAGAGAGAGAAAGAAAAAGGAGAGAAAGAGAAAAAGAAAGAGTGAAAGAGAGAAAGGGAGGAAAAGTAAGAGAGAGAGAGAGAGAGAGAGAGAGAGAAGAATTAAGAGAGAGAGAGAGTGAAAAGAGAGAGAGAGGAAGGGAGGGAGGGAAAGTAAG